ACGGGTTTATCCACTTTGTTAACGCTTTTGGCTATTACTCGCATTTTAACGAGGAATTGATCTACCGTATTCGCTTCTAATGTTAGTGCGGTGGCGTTCAGAGAACTTATCGTTATGCCACTAATTAATAAATTAATAATATCTTCTACCGGTAAATTTAAACGATGTATCAATGCTAGCTTGTCTATCGCATATTGATCGAACGTTTCTTTATAATGTAACCACTTTCTCGCTTCAACTTTTTGCATAGTGGTATGGAAAGGAACTTGTTTATCAAACATTTTAATTAAATGATCACTCAATGATAACCACGAAACCAGAACCGAACCTGATTGAAAATCGAACCAACGTTTCGCATCTCCTACTAATTTTGACGAAGCCACTAATAAAATAAGATTATCTGGAATACCATGAACTGCTGCTACTTGACTGACCCTCTGCACCCAAACATGAACGCTTTCTGCTTCTGAACCTCCAAAATCCGGAACTTGTGATGAGACCAATGACAGAATATTAGCCGGAGGAACTGCTACCGCATTCCTGTGAACCGCTGCTGCTGCATTCTCCGCTGTCGGATGTAGAGAAGGACTTGCTTCACCGCCTCCACTGCCACTCGTGGAGAGATTACCTCCTTCCGCAGAGATCACCACATCTGAAGTATTACCAGTCACTGCTCTGGTGATCTTCATTAACTCCTGCTGCTGCAGCTGCATTGCTACTTTTTGTTGTTCCATGAACAACTGCTGGTTCTGCATGCATGTACTCATAGCCATCATCATCTTCGTAAACATATTTTCGATTTCCGAATGATTGGAGTCACTTGTCGGCACCGAAGGCTGAACTTTATCTGAACCACTTGTACTTCCGTTTCTTGAACTTGGTCCGACTGTTGGTGCTTTATCCATAAAAGTATTCCTAAGTCGTTCGCTCGAGATCATGTCCATCATCGGGCTGTTCATCTCCCAATGATCGATTATAGCGTCAATTAACAAATTGCGATCCTCACTTAATTTCAGCTGATATTTTCCAGCCTCAGCTTTTAATTGGTCTAAAGACATTCCATCTAAGGCAAGACGATCCATTGTTCGTTCTTTTTTTCTCTTCTCACCTTGGCTGGTAAGCAGAACTGTTAACTCAGCACTTGCCGATATCACACGTCACTACACGTGTCCAAAGTCACACGCACCAAAACATATGCTGCCTCCAACGGTGAAAATAACTGTACGATTGTTCAAATTCACAATAACAATCGTCAAATTTATCGGAATTCTTCAAGGTCTTTGAGACAATAACGAGCTGGATTGTTTATCCCACTTCTGAACTGTAAGACAAAGGATTTGTCAGAATCCTATAGTTTACAAAACTAAAACTTCTGAGGTTGACGAACAAAGGCTTAACTTTCTTGATAGCCGATTATCATAGGATAGATGACCTTGGTATGGATGTCTTTGTTAATAACTTTGAAAAGTCTTCTTAGAATAACAGTTACTTTAATACGTTGACTCTGGTACGAATTTCTTCCTGCCAAAGATTTCTTAACTCCTTACATACACTCTCCTTTACCGCTGACACTTCTCACAACACGAATAGTCTGAATAAACCAGCAATACAAAGCAATGTTTAACTAATTAACAATACCTTTGAGGATTTACTTCCTTTTATACAAAGGTCCAATTTCTAACCTCACAGGGTCTACTCGCACGTTACTATACAAATCAAGAGAACGTCTCTCGTATTAACCTCAATATCGTAACGAATTAAATTATCTCTTTAAAGTGTATTAACCGCTTCCAAAACGTACGCACTCCGTTAATTATTCAAAACTCTATAATCGGTTCGATCTAGCCACAGTCTCTCTCTCGGACTCACGGTCTCTCCCGTATCACGCACGTGGTTTTTATATCCTCTCTCGTGAACAGTTCTTCTCAGCGACTGCGCATCTAAATTTGACGACGTGTTGTCAGATGGCGTATGCTTTAATATTTCCATTTCTTACACTATCATTACCGATTCATTACAATTGCAGTATATTTGAGATGTTGCTGGAGTAACATCAATAGT